TCTGCCTCCTGAGTGCTGGGATTAAAGGCGTGCACCACCACACCCAGCTTGGCTCCCGATTTTAATGAGAATGCTTTCAGTTTTTCTCCCTTTAGAATGATATTTGCTGTAGGTTTGTTGTATGTAGCTTTAACTATGTTGAGGTATGTTCCTTCGAGTCCAGTTCCCTCTAGGACTTTGAACGTAAATGCATGCTGAATTTTATCAAAAGTCTTTTCTGCATCTATTGAGATGGCAATGTGGTTTTTGTCTTTGAGTCCATCTATATGATTAATGACGTTTATTGACTTGCATTTATTGAACCATCCCTGCATTTCTGGGATAAAGTGTACTTGATCATGGTGAATGATCTTTTTATGTGTGTCTTTTTTTTTGGTTTCCAAGTATTTTGTTGAGAATTTTTGCATCTATGTTTATTAAGGATAATTTTCTTTTCTGATTGTGTCTTTACCCAGTTTGGGTATTAGAGTGATGCTGGCTTCATGGAAGGAATTTGGGAGTTTTCCCTCTGTTTCTATCATTTTGAATAATTTGAGTAGTATTGGTTGGAGGTCTTCTTTAAAGGTCTTGTAGAATTCTGCTGCTGGGCCTGGGCTTTTTTTAGTTGGAAGGCTTTATATTACTCTTTCAATTTCCTTGTATGTTATGGGTCTGTGTAAACTGTTGATCTCTTCTTGGTTTAACTTTGGAGGTTCCCATGTTTTCATGTATCGATCCATTTCTTTTAGACTTTCAGGTTTAGTAGAGTGTAGGTTTTGAAAATATTCCCTCATAATTGTCTGGATCTTTTGGGTGTCTGTTGTGATGTTTCCCCTTCATCTCCGATTTTGTTGATTTGGATTTGTTCTTTCTTTCTTTTGGTTAACTGGGCTAAGGGTCTATCTATCTTGCTTAGCTTTTCAAAGAACCAGCTCTTAGATCGTTTATTCTTTGTATTGTTTTCTTTGTTTCTATTTCATTAATTTCTGCTCTGATTTTTGTTATTTCTTCTCTTCTGCTGGGTTTGGGTTTCATTTGCTCTTGCTCTTGACTTTCCAGTGCCTTGAGTTGCAGTGTTAGGTCACTTATTTGGGCTCGTTCCAAAATTTTTAATGTAGGCACTTAGAGCTATAAGCTTCCCACTTAGGACTGCTTTTAATGTGTCCCAGAGGTTGTGTTGTTTTGTATTGTCTTTTCCATTGAATTCTAGGAATTCTTTTATTTCTTTTTTAATTTCTCCTTTGACCCACTCATTGTTTAGGAGTGTGATGTTCAATCACCACGAGTTCATGTAGTGACAGGGCTTCATCCAGAGCTGATCTTGAGCTTCATTGCTTTGTGGTCCGATAGAATGCATGGAACTATTTCAATATTTTTGTATTTGTTGAGGTCTTTTTGTAGCCCAGTATATGGTCAATCTTTGAAAAAGTTTCATGAGGTGCTGAGTAAAAAGTGTGTTCTTTGGTGTTTGGGTGGAATATTCAAAAGATGTCTGTTAGGTCCATTTGATGTGTGGTATAATATCATTTAATTCAGATTCCTTTATTCTTTGTATAGTTGACATGTCTATTGGAGACAGTGGAGTATTAAAATCCCTACTATTACTGAGGTGGAGTTAATTTGTGCCTTGGAGTTCTGTAGTTGTTTTTATGAATTTGGATGCCCCAGAATATGTTAAGGACTGTAATATCTTCTTGGTTAACTGTTCCTTTGATCAGAATGAAGTGACCCTCCTTATCTCTTGTGATTAGTTTTACTTTGCCAGATATTAGAACTGCAACCCCTGCTTGTTTCTTGGTGCCATTTTCTTGGAATATTCTTTTCCATCCTTTTACCTTAAGGTAGTGCTTGTCCTTGAAGGTGAGATGGGCTTCTTGCAGAGAGCAAAGAGATGGATTTTGTTCCTTAATCCATTCACTTAGCCTGTGTCTTTTGATGGGGTAGTTCAGTCCATTGATATTTAAGATTGTTATTGAAAGGTGTGTATTGGTTGCCATCATTTTGGTTGCTGTTTGTGTTCTCTGCGTAATGTTGCATATCCTAGATTATATCTTTGTTTATTTTCTTTTGTTGCCCCTAGGGTATAGTTGTTTCTCTCTCTGTTCTCTACATTGCTGCAAGTATTCTTTCAAGGCCTGGTTTTGTGGACATGTATTCTTTCAGGCTATTCATGTCATGGAAGATTTTTCTTTCCCCCTCAACTGTAATAAACATTTTTGCATAGTATAGTACTCTGGGCTGGCATCTATTGTCATGTAGAACTGGAAATAACTTGGTCCAGGCTCTTCTGGCTTTCATAGTTTGCATTGATAAGTCAGCTGTATTCTGATGGGCTTTCCTTTGTATATGACTTGTATTTCTTTGATTGCTGCTTTCAGTATTCTCTCTTTGTTTTGTGCCTTTAGTGTTTTTACTATATGTTGTGGGGAGTTTCTTTTCTGATCCTGTCTATTGCTCAGATGTGCTTCCTGTGTTTGTATGGGGATGTGTTTCCTCAATTTTGGGAAATTCTCTTCTACAATCCTTTTTAAGATCTGGCAAATACCGTTAACCTGAAATTCTTCCCCTTCCTCTCTACCTATGATACATTGATTTGGTCTTTTCATGGTGTCCCACATCTCCTGCATATTCCATTCCTGTGTTTTTAAAAATTTTTCTATAATCTTTGCTTTAGTGGTCCAGTTCTTCAACTTTATCCTCCAGTATTGATATTATGTTTTCCATTTCATTTATTCTAGTGATGAGGCTTTCCCCTTTTATTTCAAGTTGGCTTATTGAGTTTTGCACTTCCTTCTTCATTTCTGCCTGAGTTTTCTTCAATGGTTCTCTTTTGTGAATTAATTCAGAAGTTTATCCCTATCTTCTTTTACTCTTTGTTTGCTCGTGTGCTTTTTAAATTCGTTGAATTCCTTGATCATGTTTATGATTGTTCTTTTAAATTCAGTGTCTTGGGTTATCTCTAGGGGCTCTCCTTGTAGAACTCATTGGTGGGGTTTGGTGGGGGACATAGTGTTTTGGCTTTCCATTTTATTACTGTTGTCATCTTGGCATGTGAATTTTTTTGTTGTTTATGATTCTGATATGAGAATTAAGTTGAAATATGCTTCTTTTTGTATTATCTGGGTGCCTAGATCCTTTCTTTATTGGTTGTGTAAAGCTGGTTGGTACAGGATTCAGGTTCTCTCAGGTTTATTTTGGAGAGAACTGATGGCTTCAGATCAGCTATTCAGGGGTACCCACAGAAGCCCAATTCAGGTTCCAGTCAGGTGCACTCAGCCTTCCTTCACCTCATGGAGGCAGGATCCAGGCTCTCTTAGGCATTCCTGTGTATTTTGAACCCTATGCCAGAGGGAGGCCAGATGGGGGCCAGAACTCAGCACTCTCTGGCTGTCTGCTGAGATCCCAACCTTAGCCTACCAAAGCCAGATCTGCCCTGGGGCCTTGGGAGGGGACTCACAAAATCTCAGATGGGGGATGGTATGGTGCAGTTAGGGGAAGCTCACCACCATTTGGAGGCAGGATAGGGAGCTGTCAGGCTGTCCCCTGGGTTCTCAGGCCCCCTGGTAATTGGAGGCCAGAATCCAGCACTCTC